TTAACTAGAATTAATTAGGAATTACATATAGATAAACTTTATGTTTTTTAGTATTATAGATATCTTCGCTAGTTATATAGTAGAGATATACTATAGTTGTTAGATAGTTAACTACTTGCTCTCTATCCTCTAGATTATTATCTTTGTTATCTACTATCTCTTTGCTACTTATTAGTTCCCCTTTAAAGTCTTATATATATAATATAATTTACTCCTCTTAGGGAGTTTCCTTATTAAATTACTTATATATTACTATATATTACTATTTTATACAGCTAAATTCTATATAAGGATAGTTAGAGGACTAATATCCTTCTTTATAGTAGATAAAGTACTTCTTCTTAGTATACTCTATATAGAACTCTCTTAGGGTTTAACTATATCCTTAAGAGTATAATAATAGAGGTTAGCTATAGAAGTTAGTTCTTAGGTAATTTAAGAAGTACTTTTAATCTGTATAGTATATATCTCCTAGTTCCTAGAGATACTAGTTTATCTAGTAGTCTAGGCTAACCTATAGTACTATATAGAGGTTACTAAATAGTCCTTTATATATTTAGTTATTTAAGAATATAGCTTACTTAAATTTAAGTTATCCTTAGTATACTTATATAATAGTAGTATATAATTATTAATCTCTATAAAAGCTTCCTCCTATTACTCTTTATATAAGTATAAGCTTATTAATAAGAAACTCTAAGGCTTTATATGGTGTTTTATCTAGGTTCTCCTTTTAGTACTATATAAAGGATAGTAATATCTAATTAGTATAGTACTAAGTCTTATTAATAGTAGTATTAAAGTAGGTATCTAGGGTAGTATATAGGGCCTTCTATATACAGCTAGGGCCTATAGTATATATATAGAATATATATACATAGTCTTTAAGAATATCTAGAAAGATATCTAAGTACTATACTTTATAGATATTAAGGTAGCAGTAGAGCTTAATAAAGATTTAGGTCTTATTAGTAAGGATATTATATAGTTTACTAGTATAGTTATTATATTTCTTCTAAGCCTTCTAGAATATAATTATCTTCTTATATAGGAGTCTCTAGTTCTTATATTTAATAATTAGTAGTAGCTATATTAGGCTATAGATACTCTAGTATAGTAGTATATTATACAGGGATAGGGAAGATTAGGGTTAGGGTACTAGGTTATATAGAGGGGATACTAATAGTCTAGTTAGTATCTTAGGTACTAATACCTTAGTTCCTATAGGTTCTTTATTATATAAGGTTAGTTTAGGTAGTAGCCTAATAGATAAAGCTATTAATAGTATATATAATCCTTAGGGTATAGGTAGGGTATCTATAAGATCTCTATTTACTAAACTCTTTAGTTCTATAGTAGCTTTATAGTTTATCCCAATTATTCTGTATAGTCCTTTAATATTTATTATATCCCTAAGTTCTTATATAATTACATAGTTAAGGTACTTAAAGTATTCTACTTCCTATATATAGAAGTATTCCTTAAAGTCTTCTAGGATTTAGCTGGATAATCCCTTTAATTAGTAGATATTAGCAAGAATATATATAGTATATATATTAAGATAGAAGGTTAATAGGTTTATTATTATATTAATCTAGTTATTCTAGTATTAAAGGTGTATAGTGCCTTAGAGGGTAGTTATTCTAATACTAGTTTCCTCTAATAGGTCCTTATATAAGTATAGGAACTTTACCTCTTCTTTATATAAATCCTATTAATTCTTATCTAGGATTAGTAAATATATAGGCTAGCTTACCTTAGTAGATATAGTGTTAGCTAGATCTATTATAGCACTAGTATTAGCATTAGCACTAGTATTTATTTATTTTAGTTACTACTAGGTTTATATAGTAGGGTTCTAGGTATATAATATACTATCTTCCTTTATATATTTCTTAAAGGTTAATCTCTCTATTCTATAGCTATAAATAGAAATAGTAATAAAATAGAGACTTTAGTAGAAGTTAGTTTTACTAAGGTATAACTCTATCTTTACTCTTACTAATTTATAGTTAAAGTTAATTAACTACTAATTAGTATTAAATAGACTTTAGTGTATACTATAGATAGGTAGCTCTATCCTAATATATACGTCTATAGTATATATATATATATATAGGGTATAATAGGTTAATATAGGATTAGGGGTTAGTATTATTTATATTCTATCTAGAGTTAGATAGAAGAGTAGGGCTTTAAGGTAGCCCCTTGCTAAGCTATATATATAGCTTAATTATATTAGATAAGCTTATATAATCCTACACATATATTAGCTAATACTCCTAACTTAATTACGTATAGATATATATATTACTATTACTAGTTAAGTTATAGTAGAAAAAGGCGAAGAAAAGTTATATAAGGAACATATTTCTTAAGTTTCAGCTAATTTTCTCTAGAAGAGGAACTAGCTAGATCTCAGCTTCTTTACTATTTAACGTAGATACTAAGTAAGTAGCTAAACTAAGCAAGTAGCTACCTTATTAGCTTTTCGCGACGCGTTACCTATTAATAATAATATCTCTACTAATACCTGCCCAAATGCCCTGCAATAAAGCAGATATCCTTCTAGCTATCTTAGCTGTTAAAAATAACCTAGATTAGAATGTTCTACAGGCTGCGCAAGTATATAATATCCCCTAAACAACACTATAACAATAATGCAATGGAATTACTACATGACGCAATTATTAGCTAAACTTAAAGAAGCTTACTAAGCTAGAAGAGGAGGTTATTAAGAGATATATACTTGACCTAGATTTATAAGGATTTTCACCCTCTCTAGCTATTATATAAGATATAGTAAATAAGCTACTTACTAAGTGCACTAGTAGATAGGTTAGCAGAGACTAGCTAAGGAACTTTATTAACTGGACTATAAGCCTTAAGATATAATACAACTGACTATATAATTAATAGAGAGCCCTCTATAAGGATCCTAAGGCTATTAAGGCCTAGTTTAAGCTTATATAGCGTACTAAGGCGTAGTATAGTATCTATAATAAGGATACCTATAATTTTAATAAAGCTAGCTTCCTTATAGGTAAGATATTATCTTACCTTATTATTACTAGCTTAGAGAGACATAGCTAGCTAAAGGCTATATAGCTAGGCAATTATAAGTGGGTTAGTATAATCTAGGGAATTAATGCTACTAGGTGGCTAATTCTACTATTTATTATCTTTATAGGCTAGTACTACCTCTCTACCTAGTATAAGGGTAATAATATACTAAGCAACTAGGCTATTATAGTTAGTGATAATAGCTGGATAACTAATAAGATAGGAGTTAATTAGCTAAAGTACTTTATTAAGTATATAGAGGGCAAGAAGGTTAGGGCATAGTAGCTGCTTATCTTTAATAGCTATAAGAGCTACTACTTAGTTAACTTTTAAGATCTCTATAAGGAGAATAATATCTATACTCTCTATATACTACCTTATTTATTACACCTCCTATAGCTACTTAATATAGGCTACTTCTTACTATTAAAGCGTGTATATAGATATCAGATTAAGAGCCTAATCTATAATAGTATTAATTATATCACTAAGCTTAAATTCCTACTATCCTTCTATACTGTGTATAATTAATTAATTATAAAGGATAATATCTGTGCAAGCTTTTAAGGCACTAGCCTAGTCCTAATTAATCTAGAGGTAGTAATATTAAAGCTTGATATAAAGCTTTGTACGCCAATACCACCTACGCTAGAGGTTACTACCTAGGAAGCTAAAACGCCTAGTAACGCGCTTGAATTAGAGGCTTAATCAACGCTGATCTATAATTATATACAGAGGCATTAGAACTCATTACCTACCTCTCTTATTACAGTGCTTAATTAGCTTAAAAAAGGCACTAAGGTGATAATATACTTAGCTATACTAATACATAAGTGGATTATAAGTCTTAAGAGAGCAAATAAGGCTACTATAGAGTATAAAAAGTGTAAAAAGAAGCAGATTCAGAAGCAAGGCACTCTATTAAAGGAAGAAGGAGAGGATATTATTGCTTAAAAAGATACTAAGTAGTAGAAAAAGGATGAAATATGTTAAGGTGTAGTATAGCTAGGAGTAAGCTAGTAGGCTCTAGTATACTATAAGTACTATAGAGAGATTAGCTATAACTTACAAATATGCGTAAAGTATACTATAGATACTACTTAATCTAGGATATCTACTATAATATACTATCTTATTGTATTATTGAGATAGATTACTATAAAGGTTGATAAAGCTGATAAGGTAGCTACTTGCTTGGTTTAGCCACTTACTTAGTATCTATATTACTATTACTTATGTTTATATATATCTTTAGTAGCCTACCCAACTACTATATCTAATTAATTTATTTATATTATTATTAGAATACCTATATAAACTTTATAAGTATAATAAATTTTATATATAATATATCATCTTCTAAAATAAGTATAGCCTCCTAGAAACTACTATAATTAGGAAGATTATATATAGGACTTATAGCTGTAAATCAGTTATTAGTAGCTAATTAACTCTTATAATAGAAACCTAGAAGTAAGCTATAGATTCAATATTACCTTTAAGTACTAAGCTCCTATATAATTAGTTTTTCTATCTATTGATATTTATGCTGGCCTCCTCTTCTAGTACTAAAGTATTATAGAATTTGCTCCAGTTCAACTTTATAGTTTATACTGGACCTATTAGTAAAGGATTTAAGGGTGCTATCTAGCTGTACACTACTAGGTGCCTGAGTTTCTTAGAAAAATTGATAATGTACGTATTTGCAAATTTCTCAAAAGACTTCATCTTGAATAAATGTTTTGTAAGCCCCTCTTCTAGTAGCTTATAATTAAACGGGAAAGCGTAGGAAGACCCACCACTTTTCGCCTTGGGGTGACACAGCGAATACGGATAATTTTATAATAGAATTTCTTCTGTTCACAACAGCCACTTACTAGCAGGTCTTTAGAGCAGTTATAAGTTAGTTAATCTTCTAGGAGTAGTATCTAACAAATGGCTTCATAGTCTAGTGGTACAATTCCTGTTTTAGGCATAATTTGTCTGAATTACAGGAGGTCCTGCGTTCAATCCGCGGTGGAGCCCTTTTTTGCTCTTAGTGTTGTTTTTCTCAATAATGATGTATAGTACTCTCTAATACTGCGCCTTCAGTGTGGTCATACATTGGTGGTGGGACTCGCTGGCAAGCTCTCAGCACCTGAGCACCCCTGACGTAAAAGGGTACTCAAGGCAACAATAGCAATACATCATTTGGATCCTACTTTCTATATACATTTTGTAACAATTACTGCTTTGAATACCATTATTGCGAAAATTTACTGTTCGAGAAAAAGCATCCATGTCCACATTGGAACTAGCCTTGTCTGCAGCATTCTGATTGGTCAGCACAAGAAGCTGACATACGCGTCGTTCCATCTCGGCCCATTTGCGCGTGAACAACATCTTTGACATTCAACCACTCGTTAACTCATCAATTCCTTTAGATATGATCTCGCTGTCTTGGCCATACGGCCACCCACCTGGATTCGGTGCCTGGGGTGTCCCAACTTCAAACCACAAGTGAGTAGCTCCCAGACGGCTGAGCTCCCCGTATGAAGCGGTCGAGGTTTGCTGACTTCGTGCAGCTTTTGCGAACAAGTATGGTCTCAATAGGTCTAAATATCGTCGATAATGCGTCCTGACTTGAACAAAGGACTATGTTATCACTGAATACATTGCAGAGTTTGTCAATACGCTCACGAATTTGACGTACGGTGAGCTTGACTCGTTGACCTACAATGGAGCGCAATTGACCTAATCCTGCAATTTAGTTGTGTACGGCATTCATGGTCTACGTAGAGTGGCGCCTAGAGGCGATGGAGGACTTCTCTCGACCTTAGCATTCCCTTATTGGGCTCTTGTTAGTGTTGGTGTTTTGTCGGGGTGGTTCCACTCGGTCTTGAACTATCGTAGCCAGATGGGTATGACACTCCCCCCCCTGTTCAATAATATGAATCGGAGCGCAACCAGGTTATTTTCCCTATTGTTTTCCATGAGGGCAAATTCGTTTTGAATCCGATGAATTCAATGACGCGTTCTAAAAACTAACATCCCCAGGCGACGACCTTTCCATGCTCTTAGCTGTCGGAGCCATCCTTCAGCAAGTCTACACATTCAACGCGAAATCACGTGAACGGCTTATCAGCACGTTCATTATCCTTGCATCCAATATTGCAATTGCTGTCTACCACTGCTGGACAGACGAGATTGTTATGCACGAGATCGCTTTCGCTGTCCAGGTGTTTATCGTGGGACGCAAGACCCGCCAGCTAATTCGCGCGCGTGTGAAGAGTGATCACGCGAAGAAGAAGCTCCAGTGGTTGGCAAGCATGGGCTTGGGTGAGTCGATAACACGATTTTACTTTGTGATTGTTGAATTGAAAGATGGGATTTGGACAGTCTGTATGGGTTACTGATCTTCTCACAGGTTCTGGTCTCTTCGGCTACTTTCTCTGGAACATTGATTTCCATCTCTGCTCATATGTCACTTCCGTCAAACGCTCCGTGGGTCTTCCATGGGGCCTTTTCTTAGAACTCCATGGCTGGTGGCATATTTTCACAGGAATCGGCGCGTACACAGGAATGGCGTTGGCCGAGTATTTAGTCACTTTTGAAGAAGGAAAAGAAGACCGATTCGAGGAAGGGTTTGTTTGGCCCGTTCACGCAATCCTCAGCAACCTGGAAGGCAAGAAAAATCCCGAGAAAGAGCAGTGATGTGATGGAGCATAGCAAGGAGTAAGAGATAAAAGGGTAATATGGATGGGTCGTTTCGCCACTCAGCACATCATGAACATTTGCGATGAGCATAGCAAGGAGTAAGAAATACAGGGTAGAATCAATAGATTGTTTCGTCATTCAACATATCATGAACATTCGTGATGAAGATAGCAAGGGGGAAAAGTTAGAGAGATAGAATCAATAGACCGTTTCGTCATTCAACATATCATGAGCAATCGCGATGACCATAGATGAACAGCAGTCTTACGCACCACGACTCTCGCCTCCAAGTCACGGATTTAAAACGGTCTGGGGCGATGGGTTCAGAGGCACATTCGGCGATCCGCTCTCCATCTCTATATCCGCCCCGCCCCGCCATCCAGCTGCGGCATCATAGGACCCAATATCGAAAAAACCTGCGAATTAAGATATACAACCTATGCAGGCTAACCTCGAGCAAATCACCTAAGCCTTCTATTTGCGACTCCATCTCACAAATCTATGCACTAAATGAGTAGCCTCTATGGCCGTGGTACCCTAAAGTGACGACGAAGAGTTGTCTGAAGCACGGTCTAGATGATCGGGTGTCATTGCTCCGAATTGTATACCCGCACGCCGCTCATCTCTAGCACAGCGACGGATGAGAAGCTGCCCCTTCATATCCGGCCTTGCAACAGCATCATCGGGGCGTTCCCCCGGCCCGCACCAGACCGTTCATTCGCAGGCCGCTCCCCTAAGTCCTTCTTAACCCCACCCGGAGAGGACTGGGGTAGTCAGCAGGTCCCAAGGTTTTGATTGGCCTGTGAGTGCACGCGGTGGTGGGGCATCGAACATTGATGGCCGGACGGCATCTCGGGGACGAGGCTTTGACGTAGATATTTTCTGATCCGAGATGCCAGGAGCTTGGCCTTGTATGCGTCTTTTGGACCGAGCATCGTGGGTGTTTGTATCATCAAGAATTGTATATAAGAGAGGGTAGACAGCAGGAGGAAAGGCATCATCACACAACAACTCCCAGTCTCAAACACTACACCATCAATTGATTCTTCTAGACTCTCTCAAGCCCCACCACCGATCCACTTCTAACATCAACGCTCCGGCAACGAACAGTCTTCCCACACACACACAAAGTCCTACTACCATAGATTCTTTTCTAATCAACAAAATGGTCCATCTCAGCAACAAGGAGATCGGCAGTGTTGGCTACGGCATGATGGGTAAATTGCACACCTTCTTCTTCCTCCTACCATTGAGCTAATAGTTTCAAGGCCTAACATGGCGCGCAAGCCCCCCATCGCAGGAGCAAGCCTTTGAGGCTATGAAGGCCGCCTACAACAAAGGCTCCTACTTCTGGAATGGCGGCGAGCTCTATGGGAGCCCAGACCGCAACTCCCTTCACCTTCTCAATGAGTACTTCACAAAGTACCCTGAAGATGCCGACAAGGTGGTCATTTCTATCAAGGGAGGTCTCAAGCGTGGCCAGATGATGCCAGATGGGAGCAAAGAGAACATTGATCGATCCATCGGCGAGTGTCTGAAGTGGCTTGATGGAAAGAAGTCTCTCGATCTGTTCGAATGTGCACGTGTAGACAAGAACGTGCCGATTGAGGACACCATCGGCTACATTGCAGAATACATCAAGGCTGGAAAGCTGGGCGGTATCAGTTTGTCAGAGGTCAGCGCGCCGACGATCCGTAGGGCTCATGCGGTGCACCCAATTTCAGCGGTCGAGGTTGAGTTCTCCATGTTCTCGCTCGACATTCTGGAGAACGGCGTGGCGTCTACCTGCGCCGAGCTGGGCATTCCGATAGTTGCTTACTCGCCTCTCGGTCGTGGCTTCCTCGGTGGACAGTTCAAGAAGTACGAGGACATCCCGGCAGACTCATCATTGAAGATATTCCCCCGCTACTCCGCCGAGAACTTCGACCAGAACATCAAGCTCGTGCAGGAAGTTGAGAAAATTGCAAAGAGCAAGGGAGCTACACCGGCCCAGGTAGCTATTGGATGGATCATATCTCACAGCGGCAAGCCGGGGCTGCCCACCATCATTCCTATCCCTGGAGCCACAACGGCGGCGCGTATTGAGGAGAATGTGCATCCGGCTCAGTTGAGCGCAGAGGAGCTAGCAGTCATCGACGACATCCTGAAGACATTTCCCACCGCCGGTGAGAGGTACAATGCGATGGGAATGGCGCATGTGCATGCATAGATGTAGGGGCAGATCGAATTGGAGGATCTAATGTAACGGGTTGTTAGTGTTTCCATAGGTGAATGTCATATGTATTCTCATAGGAGAAGCGTCGGTGGGAGTCAGATCAAGTGTAGTGTATTGAGTGCTCCGCATTCGGGTTTGCCGAAGCATACCCGTTGGCATTGCAGAACTCTTAATTATCATCATACAGATTGCTGGAAGGAAGGGGTATTGAGCTGGCGTACCTTTCAAGGGTTGCCGATGAGTTGGGTGAGGCGTGAAGTGTTGCTCTCAGCACCCAAAAAAAATCGAGTCCAACTAAGGGTGCATGGCTGAGTCAGCGGCTTCTTCCGCTCAGCGCGTTCGCGATCCCCATCCCGTGAAACAGCTCCCCGTCACCTTTCCAATTCACCGCATCACACCGCGCCCCATCACTATTACCTCCTCCAATAATCACGCCACGCGGCGCAATGGATTCGGCCAACTCGGACCTCTCCGACTATGCATCGGACGACTTCCCCGACGACGTCAAGGGCCGGCGCCTCAGCTTCCAACACACGCCCGACCATGAGCCCGCAGACCGACCCGCCAAACGCCCACGCCTCAACATCCGCGGCCCCTCCGAACCCCCAGTCATGAACATCCCGCCCGCCGAAGACTTTGGTGAGCTCTCCGAAGACACAGATGGCTCGGTGCCTGCGTCGCCGCACCACCCGGGCATGTCTGCCGAGGACGACTACGGCCACGACCAGGTGACGGTGTGCAAGTGGGACGGCTGCGATGCCGGCGACCTGGACAACATGGACAACCTGGTGGTGCATCTGCACGAGGACCATATTGGGACGCGGCAGAAGAAGTACAGCTGCGAGTGGAGCGACTGCAATCGCAAGGGGACGCCGCATGCATCGGGGTATGCCCTGAGGGCGCATATGCGGAGCCACACGAGGGAGAAGCCTTTCTACTGCACGCTTCCAGGTATGTCATTCTCTCCATCGGCTTGAATACCTTCTGACACCTCTAGAATGCGACCGCTCCTTCACACGATCGGACGCGCTTGCTAAGCACATGCGCACTGTGCACGAAACCGAAGCCCTCCGCCCCTCTGACCCCGTCCCCAAACACCACTCCTCAAACCCCT